TCTACAATATGATCAACTGTAATTCTCAACCTATCTATTATTACTTTCCTTACAGCTCTAAGATCCAGCCAAGCCAACCCTTGTAGCCTTCACTATTTCCCAAACATCCACATGTTTTTCTGCTTCTACACCTTTGCTTAAGATTTTCCTTGCTCAGAATTCCAACAGTTCACTTTTTGGATTAAAAAATCTCCCAGTACTTAAGTGCTTATGTCAAATGCTACCTCTTTCTCAAGAACTTTTAACCATAATATATAACCCCTGGCTCAATGGAGCCCTCACAAAAATTTGTACAAATGAGATCTTGCATTGTATTATAGATATCTGGTATTTCTCTGTCTCCCTACTCAATGGTAAGCTGCCTTCTATCCCTCATCTTTACACTCCCTTCAACAGGAGAGAGCCTAGAAAATACGCAGTGCTTCACAAGTGTTGCTAAATTGAATTATATTAGCTCTTCCTAAATTACTAAAACCGAAACTTTTTAGGTGATGTATTTCAACAGCAATTTCAAAAGATTTCTAAGAAAACAATATATTATTTAAGTGTCATTACAGCTGGTCATGGGGGCAACCAGGAATGCTTTGGAAATATCAACTGAAAGTTTCTTTCCATGCAATCAAACATTTTGCCATTCTTTCTTTCTTTCTCTTTTTTCTTTTCTTTTTTCTTTTTTTTTTTTCCCCGCAATGGAGCGTCGCTCTGTCACCCAGGCTGCAGTGCAGTGGCACAGTCTTGGCTCACTGCAACCTCTGCCTCCTGGGTTCAAGCAATTCTCCTGCCTCAGCTTCCCGAGTAGCTGGGACTACAAGGCGCACACCACTACACCCAGCTAATTTTTGTATTTTTAGTAGAGACAGGGCTTCACCATTCTACCAAAATTATTTTACCCTTTAATAGACCATCACATCCATAGGAACACTCACTTGCCTGGATCTTTGTGCTATAATAGTCTGAGGAAGATGCATGTGCCATGAACAAGTGGACAATGGAAGAAATAGACTTCTAATGGCGAGAGCCTAATCACTTTCAACCAGCACCAACTATAATAAGTACGTTTCTTATGATTCACAGTATAATAATCCCAATGGACTTAACTTTAAAAGGGCATAGTGTATCTAATACAGCTGCCCTGAGGCTGGGCCAAAATAATTATCCTTACTTGACCTTTTGGGCCTTGAATCAATAACAAGCCCAGACTACATGAAGAGAACTAAATTGCTCTCACTGTATTAAATGCCCGACAAACACCAGGCCAGCTATCTATCCATCTGTCACCTCCATCCATGACCATCCTTCATCCATACTGCGGCCACACCAGGTTATGCCGTCACCTGTCAATAAATATTATGTATATATTAGCATTTTAAGTATGTACCTAAGAGCACTTTACTTTGTGTCCAGATCTCAGTCCCAGCTATTTTTACGTATTTAAACCTCTACCAAGCAGTACTGTAAGGTAGCGTAAGCTGTTTATTCCCCATTTTACAGATGAAGAAATCATAGGTGACGCATGTTTAAAGTAACTGAACCCAAGTTCATGCAGCTATTTTTTTTATTTATTAGTTTTATTATTCATTAAGTCGCTTTAAGTTCTAGGGTACTGTGGCATAATGCGTGCAGGTTTGTACTATTAAGCTTGTGCCTTTGCTAGCTGCACCCATCAACATCTCAGTACCCATCAACTCGTCCATTTACATCAGATATAACCTCCCATGCAATCCTCCCATCCCTACCCATCCCCCCTCCTTCCCATGATATGGGCCCCGGTGTGTTCATAGCAGCTATTGAGTAGCTAGGACTAGGATGTTGAATCCTAGTAATTTTTCTCCCAGAGGTCCACACTTTCTTTTTTCTTTTTCTTTTCGAGAACAGTGTTTCATTCTTGTTGCCTTTAGGCCTAGACGTGCAATGGCATGATCTCAGCTCACAGCAACCCCCACCTCCTGGATTCTCCTGCCTCAGCCTTCCGAGTAGCTGGGATTACAGGCACGTGCCACCATTCCCAGCTAATTTTTTTGTATGTTTAGTAGGGATGGGTTTCACCATGTTGGCCAGGCTGGTCTCGAACTCCTGACCTCAGGTGATCCACCCACCTCGGCCTCCCAAAATGTTGGGATTATAGGTGTAAGCCACCTCGCCCAGCCAAGTTTATTTTTATTTGTTTAGAGACAGAGTTTCGCTCTTGTTGCTCAGGCTGGAATGCAGTGGCGCAATCTCAGCTCACCACCACCTGTGCCTCCCAGATTCAAGCAATTCTCCTGCCTCAGCCTTCTGAGTAGCTGGGATTACAGGCACATGCCACCAAGCCTGGCTAATTTTTGTGTTTTTTAGTAGGGATGGGGTTTCACCAAGTCAGCCAGGCTAGTCTTGAATCCTGACCTCAGGTGATCCACCCACCTCGGCCTCCCAAAGTGCTGGGATTACAGGCATGAACCACCACACCCAGCCCAGAGCCCATACTTTTAATCACTCCATGATATAGTACTATGAGAGAAGGATTTTGTTTTCTTCTTAGAAGTTGGAGAGGTCTCTGGAAGTTACTCTATTTCTGGAAAGCACCTACAGGAAATTTCACAGAGGTGTGCACAGGTGCACATAAACATAGAAAACCTGCTATGTTTCCATATTACAGTGATAAAATTGGAACTATTTCTTAAAAATAAAACTGAGAAGCTAAATTTGAAGCACGGAATACACTGATGAGCTCACAAGGCAGCCCTGTGTGCTACTTGTAGGGATCTTCACATGGGCCTCACAAACGTGGTCAGGGCATTTGCGAGGACAGATTCTGCTCAAGGCCCTGTCGAGTAGGCCTTGATGGGCATCAGTCAGCAAGATGAGAATAAAAAATGAACTTCGTTATTCCATTCAGTCTTAAAGAGAAGCATTTCATCTTCTATAGAAGTGCATGCATAGCCAAACAAAACCATGCTTAACTCAGTCCTGCATTTTGTATCAGGAAGGAAGGAATGCAGTGACTAAGATGCTATGAGTAAACAACAAATCATTTTCTATGGGAGGGGAAAAAGAACGCTGTCTACCACAGCATTCCTTCTGCATAGTTTTGGGGAGAAAAGCACCAGCCTAGCTTCTTCAACAGAGAAAGTGAATCTGATGGTCCTCAGAACTCTCCCCAGTTAAAGGCTGCATCTTACCTCTTATGTCTGTAATAAAACAAGAGAAAATGCCCTGGAAAATTTGTTCAAAATTCATGATATTGAAGAGGGTTTGCCAGAGGCCATAAGTCAGAGAAGCCAAGTAACAGTCAAATTCGGAATGAAATATTAGGCGATAACTTAGCTTTCATTCCAAAGGGCTACCCTTAATAATACTGCAGCTTGTAGGGCTACAAAGTTAAATAACAAGTTGTGGTGTTCAATATTTTCATTTTATTATTTATTGAGATGAATTCTCAATCTCTGTCACTCAGGCTAAAGTGCAGTGGCATGATCTTGGCTTTCTGCAACCTCCGCCTCCCAGGTTCAAGCAATTCTCCTGCCTCAGCCTCCCAAGTAGCTGGAATTACAGGCACATGCCACCACACCTGGCTAATTTTTGTATTTTTAGTAGAGACTGGGTTTCACCATGTTGGCGAGGCTGGTCTTGAACTCCTGACCTCAAGTGATTCGCCTGCTTTGGCCTCCCAAAGTGCTGGGATTACAGGCGTGAGCCACCCCACCCAGCATCCAGTATTTTTAAAGGGTTGATTCACAGCCTTCACAGGGAAAACAAACAAAGTAGATGCACCTGCGCCCCTCCAAATTTCTTCTATGACTATTTTTTGCATTGCCAAGCAGCCTGCATGTTAAGTAACCTAACTTACACACTACTGGGCCCAGGTTCCAAGAAAAAACTACTTTGCTATAAACTCATTCTTGATCTTTCTATGTTAGTGTTGGCTGACTTATTAGTCTTAGCTACATTGAGGGTAAAATAAGTGGCTAGTTTTTCCTACAAATTTGCCAAACCCTGTCTGGAATGCATTGTGTTGTGCTTTCACTAATGGAGTTCTGTGTCACTCACAAGGCACTAATTGAAGCTCTTGGCCTTAAGTAAAATGACACATTTATCTGAAACAGGTGAAGAGGTTAAGGGTGTTCTCTGGGAAGGAATTTTTTGACCCTTTCCAATATCAGAACCTGAATCACTCCTTAAAAATGTGCAAGGAAAATGAATGTATTTTCACTCCACCCTTAAAAAATACCAAGTTTCATTGCAACTCAAAAATTCAAGCAGCTAGAACAATGCAGAAACAGTCGCTTCTAAGTAAATATGTGCCTGTTTATTTTTTTCCTTATTATCGTTTTCTGATACGCACTCCTGCCTGTGAACTATATTCTAATGATGAGAGGGCTAATCAGGCTTCAAAGGCAAAACCTGCCCCCCTAGAATGGAGGAAAATAATACATTCCCCCTCCCACTGTTTCCTATGTAAAATAAAATACAGGCCTAAGATCTACAAATATTATGATTAACATTCTTGATAGGGATAGGAGAACCCAGTAAAATAACTCTATTTGTGAGGACATTGGGGAATTTAGTCTGTAATGAGGAACTTTAGAGGCAAGTGGGATTTTAGAATTAAGCAAATGACGGCCAGGTGCAATGGCTCACGCCTGTAATCCCAACACTTTGGGAAGCCCGGGAGGGAGGATGGCTTGAGCCCAGGAGTTGGGGACCAGCCTGGGCAACATAGTAAGACCCCATCTTAAAAAAAAAATCATAATTACAATAAAATATATAATTACAATAAAATATATAGTTAAGTGAATGAATTTTTAAAATATTACTTCCATTCAAGTTCGGAGCCTGGGGGATAAAAGTATTGTGATAAATGATGGCAGAATTAACTAGCCAAACTGTGACAAGTGCGGTAACTTAATTGGTGCTTATGTGAGAGGAGGCGTGTCCCCACCCTTCACTCTTCTAGGGAGTGGCAGAAATCCCAGAAGAGGAGTTCCTACCTCCCGAAGGAGGAGACAGCGTTGCCCCCTTACCTGCACAGGTGCTCCCGTCGTAGGTCTCGCACACCCATTCGTGGCATTCACATAGGGGCCCGAAGAACATGCCCGGCTCAGTCACATGGCAGATGCAGACGCCGCAGTCGCAGCGGCCCCGGCCGTGGCACAGCGCGGCCCCCGGAGGCTGCCCAGGTGCGCGGCAGCGGCGCTCCGACTCGGCCCGGGACAGCCTGCAGGCGGCGCCCGGCCAGCTCCTGCGCGGGCAACAAGCAACCGGCAGGCGGGGTCAGACGCGGACACCACCCCCTGCTCCGAACCCACGTTTCCTCCCCCGTGTCTCCTCCAGGTGCAGACGCACAACCCCAAGAACAGGAAGTCTGAGGCCCACATCTCTCTGCGGTCCAAGCGCTGCCTGGAAGGGCTGTATTTTCCCAAGCAAGCAGGTACCACCCACCAGAGAAATGACCAGGGCTCAAAACGTGTAAGGCGGTTACCTGACCCCCGGACACAGGTCCTTTCTCCAGGTGAACAGAGGTGATCTGCCCTGCTCTTTGGTAGTTTGACACTGAATCTTATATGCACATTTAGATTAAATACAAAGTAATCCAAGGTATGGCACTCAGCTGACTTTTCAGTTTTCCTTTAAAAAATGTCCCACTGCTATCTGATGGCCAATGGGCAGTTATATTATGGAAGAGAAGAGGTGAATATATAGAAAGAATTAGACATGTTATGATAGCATCGGGCATAATTTGCATTAAGCAGTCTTTAGGAACTCTACTTTTAAAAAGTTTAGTTTCACTATTGCAATGTGCCTCCGTCTCTTTCCGAATGTGATACAAAATGTAATACAGACCTGTTGCTGCTGTTGGGCAACAGAGATCATTCTGCTTTATAGATTGTGAGAAGATACGGGTACACACAGAATTTTAACTCGTGGCAGAAATTCCTCCTGATATATATTTGCAGGAGTATAAATTATATTTTTATTCACTGTTTGCATTTTTCCAAAGGAAAAGCAAAAGGACAGACATGAGGCAATGCACAGTGTAGATATAAGGAGAGGGAATGGAACAGGTTGAAAACAGTTTATCCCGTGTCCAATTTAGTAACAACTCTTGGCTTAGGGCAGCCATCCTGCAAGCTTGAGCCCTGCCACATAAGCAGGGCAGGTCTCTACTGAAGAATAACAAACCAAACTTACCTCAGAGATGGCGAGAAGCTTTGAGGAACAGCTGACAATCCAGCAAAGAGAAGGGAGGACGCCAGCAGCAAGAAGTTCCTGAAGCCTGGGGGATGCATGCTGAGCTCCTGGGCTGCTCTGGGCGAGCTGCACTTCTGCAAGGTGGGGTTCACCAAGGGAGGCGGCAGGAGGGAGAGGTGCCACCAGCAGATGGCCGGGCAGACGGACCCACGGACACCCAGGCTTGCAGGTCCGGGACTCCAGCCGGAGTTGCAATTGCGTTGATGAGCTGCCTGCGAGGATTTGGGCAGCGGCACTGCTCTGGGCGGGGTGCTGGTGCCAAACCCCTCAGTGGAGAGTCTAGGCAGGGAAGTAATTAGAAACAGTTGTACAAGCAGATGGTTTATTTTGACATTAAAAAAAAGTGTCCTGTTCACAGATTTGAGAAAATCATTTCTTTCTTCAAGTACAGGCCCCAGAAATATTTGACAAGAGAATATTTGGACTGGCCAATATTAAAGAGACCTTTAAAATAACCCCTGAGTTGTGAAGAAGAAGGGTGAGGCCAGTGACTCTGGTGTGAACACTTGGGTAGGGAATTAGTTTCACCACACGCTTTTAAAGAAGATGCACTCTTTAGAGTTTGGGCTGGGGCAAGGGCAAGGAAATCTGGCAAATACAACATTTTCTTGCCTTTATTATCCTTTGATTTAAACTGGATATTTCATTTCTTTAGTCTTTAAAAAGTGTGTCATGCTTCCAGCTGTTGAGGCCAGTAGCTTATCACACCACATTTTTTTCTTGACTTGGACAGTTTAAATTGTAGTTGTCTCAAATTCACCCCATTCTCCCCATATGTCAAATATGAGAAAAGAAAATTAAATATTTATAGCATAAATTGCACTGAGAAACAATCGGTGTCATTTACTAAGCACCTATTATGTGCCAGTCATTTAATATGTGTTCTCTAATTATGACAATAATCACACATTTATCTGTGCATTAGCAAATGGGGATTTAGCATCTAGCAGGTGCCAAGTTTTGTGCAAGATAGAATGAATGTAACAGGGAACTAAGCAGACATAATCCCTGCTCTCTCAGAGTCCAATGAGCTGTAAAGACATTAATCAAAACAAAACCACAAAAACAAGGACAAACGGTTGCAAGTGCAATGAGAAGTTACTTCCAGATGAGATACAGGCACGTGATCTAATCAAAGATGGTAGCATTTGAACACAAAACTGAAAATGGCATCGAATTAAATTGGGTGGAAATAAGGAGGAGATGGAAGAGAACAGGGAGGTGTTCTTACTCCCATTTTAAAGATAAAGAAACTGAGGGCAAAAAGGTCAACTGACTTGCTCAAATTCATACAGGAAGTTAGTTGTATTTCAGCTGAAATCCAAAGCACGTACACTATCCCCTACATTTGTGGTCATCTGGGAAAAGTGTGTAGAGGGTTATATGGAAGGAGGAAAACATTTTTCATTCACCCTAAGAAGAGCACTATAGATGCAATGCTTCCTCATGAAATAGAACCATTCAAGAATCGCCTGTGGTCCCAGATCCTTAAAATCAGGGATGAGTCATAACAGGATGGGATTTCTCCGTCATTTACATAAGTAGGTATAAGGGCAAGACCAACACTACACTTGCCTACTGGAGCAAGAAAACAATGAAGGTCCTCTAATCATAGTCCATTTATTTTCTGTTTCTACTCCATTCTCCACCCTGTCATAGGGGAGGTTTTGCATGGGGCACATCTGTGTCCCCTCCCACCCCCCAACCCCTACCCACACAACTTAACCTATTTCAAATAGCTGATTTTCTGGCCACCCTTAGATACAGGTGTGTACACACTGGTGGAGTCTTCTATGGCAAGGACAGACTGGGGACAGGTATGCACAGTTTTGGGAGGATGTCTGGACCAGTAATTCTGGGGTCTTGGATACCCAAAGTGTGGTTTAGAAAAAAAGGACACAGGTTCTGAGTTGGCAGGTTCCCTAAGTCACAAGAACTACAACCTGTGGGGGAGGGTCTGTCTAAAAGAGAGACAGAACGGGAATTACTAAGTCAGTTGTTGTTAAAGTGTGGTCCATGGACCAGCAACGTCAGCATCATTTGAGAACTTGTGGAAATGCAAGTTCTTAGGCCCCAACCCCAGCTCTAAGGGATCACAGAGTACATTTGAATAATATCCCAAGATATCTATTTTTACATAATAATAGCTTGAGAAGACTGCAAATCACAGGGCTCAGGCTGAGCCTGAGGGTGCCTGGATCTAAGAGTGGAACTTCCACCCACCTTTAGTACAAATTCTAGAGTTACATTTTATCCTGCCCACATGTGATAGTACAAGGACATAGGAACAGGCTTTCCTGTCAACATCTAGAAACCTAGTGACTCAGAGAATATGGTAATTATAGAAGGGAAGTATCTATTCCAAAACCTGACTAGGAATTTGCAATAAAAACATGGAAGCTTTAATAAATGAGTCATGTATTGTTTACTCCTTGCATATTTTCTGAGGGAAAATTTATTATGAAATAGGACTTGATAGTTGAACATTTTTAATGAATTTAAGTGATTTTTAACCTACAGTATTTTCATACAGTGTAGTATTCAATAAGCAATATTATCTTTAATATATTATTCAGCTTTGAAGTGAAGTTAGTATGTACTAGGTGACTGAGAAAATGTAAATGTTCAGATCATTACATTACTGTGACTCAGAAATAATATTCCTAGTCAGTTGAAATAGTTATATTGTGGCTGACTTGGTGACTCAGCCGAAAGTCTTGGATCCACAGAAACTCTGTCAAAATGAAAGGTTAACTTTAAATTTATGCCTTTTAGCATTCTTTTTTTTTTTTTTAAACCAAAGTATTGAATGCCTTGGAAACACCTACTCCTTCCATTTTCCCAGTTTTCAGAACCTCAAGGACACACACGTGCCAAGAAAGGTCCTGAGTTTCTCACTTCTGCTGGCTGAGGACACAGCAGTGGGTCGGATGCATAATGAATGGTGCCTGAAAGGACCCAGTGCATCTGGAACTGAACTCAAAAAGATTGAAAACACCCTAGTCCTTGAATGTAGTCCTTCAGTCCTCAGGTTACACAATCAGAGAATTTCAGCATTCAAGGTATTTTTTAAAGGTTGTCTAGTTCAAAACTAAATTTGTTGATAACATACCGTATATTTGCCAAGTAATTAGGGGGCCTTGGTAAAAAAAAAAAAAAAAAAAAAATTAAGAGGACCACATCCTTTTCTGAGAATTGCTTTGAAAGTTTCACCCCTTGGTTCCGGGTCTACTCTAAAAATACATTTAAAATAATATCCTAGCCACAAGCCTTGAATCAAATATTCAATGATGTAACAGTATATTCCCCAGTCTATATAACCCCCAAACAATTCTACACTTCTTAAAGATAAATATTTTCATTGCCTTCACCTCTTCCTTATGTATTATAACTTTAAGCTTTCAATGCCCTGATTTTCTGATTTTGCTTTTTCTGGGATGGATGCCTTTTGGAAAGCATGATGTATACAACTGAAACCATTCAGTGGCCTAATGGATGTGGAATAGATCAGTACTTTCAGTATTCTTGTTTCATATGCTATATTTCTACCAATAAAACTGAAGGTCATATTCGCTTTTTTGAATGCCACGCTGTCCCAGTTGTGTGCTTTTATAAGTGTATTTTTCCCCAAACACAAATTGATTTATTATATTTCATCTAAACTTAGTTCTTTTATCCAGTCAGTAAAAATAACTATGGTTACTTGTGTTATATTTATTTCACTCTCTCAAAAGTAAATATGATGAACACATATTCTGTACCTTTATTCAAATAATTAACAAGATATTTGAAAAAAAATAGGCTGAGGACCAAGTTTAGATACAACCTTTAAGACAATATTAGCCTCTTAGCACATATTGAATAAGCCATCCAACCACTTACAAGTGTACTGAGTTGTCTGATATGAACCTATTTCTTCATTTTGCCCAGAAAAATATTATTAAAGATCCCATCAGTTGCTTTGCTATTCTTAGTTTACCATGTAAATAGGCTACCACTTTTTTCTGCCATTATCTAAAATAGTGCCCAATACATATTACATTCTTGATATATATTTATGGCAAAAATAAATTAACTAAAAATGATATACAACATTAATAATAAATTTATGAGTCAACAAAAGATGCAGGTGATATAGTGGATTCTGGATCAGTTGTCAGATGACATTTTGGCCTTAGGTATCCCCTGAGATGACTGTGGATTCAACTTGAATCTATATAACACCAGATCCTTTTCCTATATTCCCAATTTTTGTTAATTATATCATTTTAACTGAATCCCTGTAGACACAATTGTGAGAGTTACCTTTGGTACCTGTCTACAATTCATCTGGATTTTCTGGTAAATCCCTGAATCACATTGAGCCCACCTCCTAGTAATCTAGCCTTCCACTTCAATGTATTTATTTCAGATCTTCATATTGTATCTTGTACACTATTGCTATAGCCTCCCAACTGGTCTCTCTGCATTTATTCTTATCTTTTTGTGTCTACATTTATCCTGCTCCCTCGGACATCTTTCTAGCATGCAAATTTCATCACATCCATTCCCTGTTGAAAATATTTTAGTAGCTCTCCATTCACAGTATAAAACCCAAATACTCTCTGAGTTCATATAAGATGCTTTGTGTTTGGACTCTGACTGTCTCCCTAGTAGACGTTGTGGTTCCTCGCAGATCACCTCTCCGGGGCCCATGCACCCACCCATCTCGCTGATGACACTAGTAACTGCTGATAACTCACAGCTGCCCCTCTCACTGAGACTTGCCCTGTGCTTAAGAGGACAGGCTTCCCGGAGGCTGATCACTCAGATTCGAGACAGTTCCCTAATCTCTTCCTCCAACAATATTGACATCATTAAGCCTCTCATATTTGGAAACCGTAGAGCTGGACAGCTCCATCATTGTGCTTCTTTCAACAATGCAGAAAAGACTCAAAAACTCAAAAACTGAAAGCGATAAGATGTGTGAGGTGTGAGGTTAACAAGAAGATTTGTACAAATACTTTTAGAGGAGAAATTTGACCTCAGATCTTCACCTATGATCTTTCAGATAGGAAGTTACCTCTTTACTAACTCCACTGAGACTCCAGGCTTTAGACTCAGGAATACTGGACACGGCAGAAGGCAGTATGAAATAAAACAGGAATTAAGTGAAACTGAACCATCTGAACAGTGATCCTCACCTCGTTTCCTTACTTGGCCTATACCAGTCTTATTTCCCTCAGGGGCTATCGATTAAACTGTTAGTTTTTAGAAAACTGAACATATATATATATATAAAAAAACAAACA